AACGAACTCTATCTTTTGATCTTACACTTCAATGGATGTTTCTTCTTTCTACTTTGTTACATTAGCTCTTTCTCTTGCTCTAATGATTCCAATCTCTTTGAGTTTTTTTTGTACGCAATTACACTTAAAAAGTGTTGAAACTGTGTGTTATCACATCTTAATTTGCAGAAATAGAGTCGACCACTAAAAATTTGCTAGTGTTTTTTTGTCGTTTTGTGCCTTCATTGATTACCCATTTATTAATAAACTAATTAGAAAAAGAAGAAAACATGAAAGTTATTGATTCAATCGAGTACTTTAAGTCCAAAGTCTGTGAAGAATTTATTCACATTCAGTAGCAGCTGCATCAACTCTAAAAGCATATTTATTCGAGTCGAATCTTCAACTATTTGATTATGCTAAAAGACCAATGTACTCCTTCCATTCTTTTATAAGTGATGTTTTAACTTTTTAATTTTGTTCTTAAATAGATGATGTTTTCAATTTTCAATGGAAAATTAATTACTTTTTTATTGGTTTTAACGATTTAATATTCGTAGATTGTTTTTTTTTATTGGTTGATTAGATAATAAATGATGTTTTAGTTTAGAAATAAACAAAAATTAAATAATTTATTAATCTATGTGCATTCTCCTAAAACATTACTTATAAAAAAAACGGAGAGAGTATATAAATGATGATGAATTTCTTTTAATAGTATATCAATATATTATCTTTCAACCTTATGAGATACTAGATGTTTTTGCAGGAGGATCATATTCGAGTAGAAATTTGATTCGATACAATTACAATTTTTTAATTGACTTCAGATTTTCATTTGGTGCAGTGGGATAAAATTGAGCCCATGATTGAGGCATAAAAAAGTAAAGCAAGGTTAGTGTTGGTGGAGGCTTAGGCTAGTTGCCTATTTAGGCATTTTCTTATTTAACAACATAATTAAATCTTGTTATTTTGTCGTCTAATACAACTGTAAAATCTATTAAAATGAGACTACTTTTGTTGATTCCCTAATGTTTCTTCCACTAATGCAACATCAAATTATAAAAGTAAATAAAAGAGAATATTGATTTGGTTCTTTTTTTTTCTTGTTGGTTAAAAGAACATTGATTTGCTTATTGTTTATTTATTTTCATTTTTCAATTGCATTGCCTCCACTGACCACTACCAAAAAGTAAAACACCATTTCCAGATTCGAAAATAGAAATAAATATATAATTAAGTTGAAAAATTATTTGTTTACAACATTAACTTTTACAAGAACAAGAATCATATTGTCTACTATTGTTCTTGAGATTATATCTCAAGTACCACAACCGTGCTCCGAAGCCATAGTCTTGCAATATGTCGGTAATACATGGGATATTGGCTTTAAGAAGAACAATTATATCAAATAATTATATGTGCTTTGAACAGATTGCACGCAAAGTAGAATTATTGACACAAGAACAATTATTCATAGAGGAACAACATGGAAATGGAATTATCCAAAAAAATTCCATGAACATATCATATAGTACGACCAATATGCATATATTATTCTCTATTTCTCTCATAAAGCAGATTCAGTTGGCTCATTCGACTTTTATAGCTCATTCAAAGTAGAATTCGCATTGTTTTTTTTTTCGTCTGAAAGATTTTTATAGCAATTAAGGTGAAATATAAAGCCGACGGTTAACAAATAACCTCAGAAACTTAAGCCGACGATTGAAATAATATTGGAAGCAAAGCTCAAAAAAAAGGGAAACAACAAGGCAAAACAAGCTTTAGACAAACAGGGAAACAATTCAGAAACTGAAACAAAGAAGCACTTCAATACAACCCGACATTTAACCACAACATCTCGTCAACTACATTAGCAAACAAAAGAAAGAAAGAGCTTTACGATGAGCCACTCCGTAGGGGATAAGGAACTCCCAACCAAACGGACAGCGGTACCACCAATTACGATGAAGGCTACCTCACGTAGACGAGTTCTAAGGAATCCATACCGGCGAGAAGGGATCTAGGTCAAAGGCATTAATATCACACCAAAACTTTCGGAAGCGGCGAAATCAAAGAATATGATTGTTTAACGCCTCGAAAGAAGCCAACTAATGAATAGATGAGATCTCGATCAAATTTCTAGAATAGAGGGAATTCACATTGTTTTTGTGGGCATTTCTCATTTGTCTAAATATTCGCATTTACAATGAATTATTTTTTTCAACTTTATGTTTGGACCTTCCAGTTTGGATCTATTTACCGGTTTTCAATTTGAAATGACACAGATTCGGGAATCTATTTTTAATATTGATACTTATCAATATTTGGACCTCTGATGTATATGTTGTTTCTCCTAATCCAAAACTGACTTTTTATAATAACACTTGGAAATGTGTAAACAAGGCCATTTCAATTGGAATTTCCAACTTATTTTTGGCTATGTCAAATTCTAGTTGTTTTTTTTTTTTTTTTTTTAATTAGTACGTAGCTGATCAATAAATTCGCTGTAACCATAAGCTCTGCTGGTTACCAATTGACAAGTGCATTTAACTTAGGTGGTTACAACTACAACTGTCTCTAATCATCACGACTATAGACAAACAAAAAGAGGGATAAAATGTTTTTAAGTGAGGTACAAACAACAGAATAATGGTTAACAATTGTAAATGAAATGAAAAGTTAAATGCCGCATAAATTTAATGTCTAAATGAAGAGAGAAAACATAGTAATGTAGCTCGCTAAACTGAAATACTCAATTTTTATAAACACCCCTAAATGTTTATCGGTAATTGAAAACACACAGTAGTTGGAAGAAAAAACTATCCAATATATATGATTTCTTAAAAGAATTTTTAAATGACTAGGAACTCATATATAGATTAAGGACGTGTGAGAACTTTGCATGACCAAGCAAACGCTATTCATTTTCGTTTATGTTTCACTTTATTTTCTTTCTAGACGACCTCCAATCCTCCTCCATAATAAATCAACTGTACATTTTTGTGTCACTTATATACTTGATATTAATTTTCGTTAGGCATCGGGATTAGATGACGAAATTTAAAAATAGAAGTTAATTTCATAGAATATTTCTTTTATAATTATTTTGTTTATCAAGTTGAATATATATATACAGGGCCGGCCCAAACTCTTTGGATGCCTAAAGCAAAAAAGGTTTGGCCCATTAATAAAATCTGTCAAAAAGGCAAAAAATACAAGTTTTAACATTTATGGAAATTGAAACTGTGACCTAAACATTAATAATGTTCGGACAGACCACTAGACCATGGTAACATTTTCAAAAAATAATGCCCCTAAAACTACTTATAATTATTGCTGCCTAAAACCCTTGCTTCATGGACTTTAGCCATGGGCTGGCCATGATATATATATATATATATATAGATGTTTACATATATAATATATTTGTATAAATATGATAATATTTGATGAACGTTACGTCTTACGTGGATAACTCACTAATAATATAAATTACACTAGTCGTTTGAAACATATTAGCTATGAAAAGAATATATGAGCACCTAGGAATATATCTTCGAATTTAATGATTTATTAGATTCGACCAGTAAATAAATATATAGATTATACTTTTGTGCAAATAATTCGATAGTCACATGAAATTGAAATTATTTGCATAACCAACACATTGTTTGGCTGGTCCACTCACTCGAACATCGTCATTATTGTTGGGCAAAGTATGTTAATAATGCAAATGCATGATTACTTGGTCGATATAATTTGACGTAGCGAAGCCCATTAGTATTCGGTTTCTGTTACATTAACTTAACTTTTATTTTCCAATATCCTATATTTTATAATTATATTGCCCATTCGAAAATATAATATATATCTTTTGTCGCCAAAAAATATCACAGGACAAATGCTTAAAAAAAAGTAGGGTTCAGTTGAGGTATCCAGCTACCATCAAAATGTCCCACTAATAATTAATCATGACCTAATATATGATTTGAGAGTTACACCAATTAATAGTTAAAATAGAAAATATATAAATAATATTTTTGAGGATTTTTAAAAGACATATCTTTCAGATTGTTTATAATAAAAAAAAAAAAGAGATTTACAAAAGAAAAAACCAAATACCACAAAAGTTTTTTTTATGAGAATATTTTGAACAATTTATAGAACTTTTCATAAATGATAAGACCCTTTCTAAACGTTTACAACAATCCTTCTTAAAGTTTTTAATGCTTTATTATAAAATTTCCTTGTGCTATTTTTTGTGTTTTAATTTGAAAAAAAAGATATTGTAAGAGTTGTTTAAAATAGTTGTAGTAGTTGTTACGTTAATCACGAAGTGGGTTAAATTTTTGCATTAAGTAGTTGCAGCTAAGGTAGACGTTGTCAAACAGGCGTGTACGTTTTATTCTAATACGTTTTCCAACCGTAATTTTATTTTTTAAAAATTGTATATATTCTACAATGTCCACAATTAGTTCTAATTAACCAGCCGATGAATTATAAAAATACAAACTAACAGAGTAATCAGTCATAAGATTGATGTTGTAAATTTAAACAGAACGTGAAAAGCGTCAAATTGATGGTATATGACCTAGATTGTTCTAAACACAAATCTTTTACTTTTAAAAATTTGGCTTTTACATATAATATTTTTTCTAAATAACATTTTTTTAATGTAAAATCAAGATATAAACATAATTTGACTATAAGATTAGACGTTATGATTTCATTATAAGTTTATAACATATAAACGTAAACGTAATCTAAAGGCAAACATAAACGTTGGATTGGAGTGTGGGCAGCTTCAAACCTCTTTTGTATTTCGCTTTGTTTAATTTTCACCAGAAACGATTCTGACTCTTTAATCAACTTTATTCCTTTCTTAAGTTAATTATATGCATTACGTACTTCCACGAATACGCCACGATCTTATTCACAAGAAACATTTTGGAAAAATGAAAACCCATGAGTTTATTATTTTACTATCTTTTGAGTTTTTGACGCATCAAAATAACTGGAAGAGGCCAAAAAGTAGAGCAGATTAAAATAATATCATTGCGGCATTGCCTTACTACAAATTAATCAATCAATTAAAATGATCTTTCCTCGCTCCGGAAAAACAAAAGAAATGTGTCTTGAAAAAATGAAATTAATTTCCATATTAAAAAAAGACACCCACTTTTTTTTTATTGGCCTATTCTTCCAGATTTACGTTTTTTTTTTTTTGGGTAATTTGTTTCCCATTTTGACCATTAATTAGGATAGTTTCTACATGAATAGCTCAGACTGCAGCAACGTGTAATAATTAGCAGCTTCGTCTTCAAGCTCCCAAAACGCATCACCAAACCCATCTAACAAGCTATCTCCATAAACGTAACTCTCATTAGTCTTTTCATAATTACTCTCGCCAAAATCTGTGTGAGGGATCCCAAGTTCGTCATCGGAAGCTTCCAAAAGATGCTGCATCACTTTCTCCTTGTTGTCATCTTCGACATCTTCTTCTTTCGAGGAAACGCACGACGATGACGACGAGTCTTCGACGTTGATGGTTTCGGAAACGACGGCGTTTTGGTCATCTGATGAGATTTCTTGCTGAAGAGCGTTTATAAAGGAAGTTAGGTCATTGTTGTGTTGGTTTTGTTCGTCTGAATCGTTGAGGAGACATAGAATTTGGTTGTAAGAGGAAGAAGATGATGACGAAGCGGGCTTTTGTCGTTTGGTTGTTTCTTCTTCTGCTAGGGTTTCTTGTTCTCTGTAACGCTTCAATGGCGATACATCAGATATTTCAGCCATGTTATTCAAGAGAAAGAGAGAGAGGAGCTTTTAGTAACGTTAGAGAGGGAAAAATGTGAGGGTGATAAGAGAGATAGAGAGTCTGAAATGTATATATAGAGAGATTATTTGGTCAAAATAGCTATTTATTGTATAGTATATTAAAATAATAATGGGATTTAGCATCATTTTAAATTGCTTCGTGCATGTCAGGAGGAAGAAACATGTGAATGCTTTATTCAAATTATCGCATTACACGGAAAAAAGTCTAAAATATTTGGTCAATAATTTAAAATTTCTGATATGCAGAGCGAGTAGTAAAGTATGGATCCTAAGGCATGTAAGCTTTGTTGGTTGTTAGTTGTTACATAAAACGCATCATGCCATGCCAGGCAAATCTTCAAAATTGATGGCGATGATTTATTTACAAATAAATTTGTATCAAATATGAAAGTATACAATATTTTTATCAATTTTTTTCTTAAAGAACAATAAATTCACATAATTTTCGAAATATCGATTGAGTGTCCAAAAAATATCTTGATTCTAAAAAAGATATTGAGTATGGACTTCAAATGGAGTACCTATTTTTTTTTAAATGTTGGTTTTTTAAAAGAGAAAGAGTTTTTTTTTTTTTTTGGACTCGAATATCAAGGAGGTTAAACTTAAGGATGCTCATATTGTAAGAGGAAGAGCGAGAGAGAGACAAAAGATAAAGAAACTAGGTGTTGTTGTCATTGAGATTTGGCAATATTTTTGTGTTGTATCCGCCGTAGGATTAGCCTTCAAAAACGAGCTTGTAGATTACGAGGGGAAATCGGACGGCTGTCATTTTACGTCTTTGGATTGCACATGGAAAGAGACGGGTTCTCATTGTTCACTTGACCATACATTAAACTAATCACAAGTCGCAACCTCTTCATTATTTTTCATTAGTTGATTATAAATTTGAACTTTTTTCACCTATTACACTTAAGGATGGGACTATTTTAGTTTTTACACACATAGGATCCAAAGTATATCCAAATTTATAAGTTCATTACCTTAATAATGTTTTCAAAACAAATTTCCAGCTGGTTGAATTTATACGTGTTTATCATGCTTTTAAGTGCTACGGACTTAATATCAGCTGGTAGGGTTACGCCAGTGTGTTATTGTTCTCTTTCTTTCGAAGCACTTCTTCAAATCTTTACTTTTCATTTTTTTCTTTTTTAAAACTTACTTTATTGGCCTGCTTGCCATTATTTTTAAATAATGATCTTTCACCCAGTCAAATTGTGTATTTTTTTTTAAAAAAATTGTGTATTTTACGGTTCCCACAATGAGGACCATGGTTATTAAAAAAAAAGAAGGAATGCTTATAATTTCTTAATTTTTTAAAATATTACTCCAAGAATGATCAGGAGTAGATAATTTGAATTGGGTTACGTCTTTTTTTCATCTAAGCAACCTTCGAGCTACGTCAAACTTAAGATTAGTGGAATCGACAACTAGATTACGTGGAGTCCTCTCTTTAGGTTTCCTTCCTAGTTTTTTTTTTTTCACTGAAAGGTAATATTGATAATCAAAAGTTCGGATAGGTTACAAATCACAAGATAAAAGACGAGAATTAAATTACAGAGAAACACAATGATCGACCATAACCTACAATAGGAAAAGAGTTTTCGAATGCATTGCATAAACCAAACCCAACTTGTCTTGAGACTGTTGAAGCTCTCGAAACTCACCATAAAGACTTTCCGCATAACAATATATGAGAACGGGCTTCAACAAAAATGGCGAAAACAAGAGAGTGAAACTTGGCCTTCTCCGCATAAGATGCATCTTTTTCTATGAGTGTCTTTGTCAAGGGTCTCCCGGATGAACCGTAAGATAATCGAGACCCACTTAGACCTTTCAACGCCACAACGAACAAGTAATTAAGCCAAACATTGCTTAATACTACAAGAGATAGATCCTAGACATAACCAAAGAGCTATACCCCAAACTAACAAAGTAATATAGTCGAGGAAGAGAAGCTTAGCCCAAAAGAGGGAGACGACAGCCCAAACGAGGGAGACAACTAAAACCTGAGCAACTGATGAAACCAGATCTAAATCGGATACAATCTGATCAGAGCAAACAGGAGACACAAGAAGGAAGACAGTAGAGACGAGGAAGATACCAAGAAAACAAAGAGGCGATCCACTGATGCACAGATTTGCCGAGGAAGGAAGAGAGAGGAGCCGTCGCGAGAAAAAACCAGACCCACCAATGTCGCCTAGGCTCACCGAAGAGATCAATCGGACTGATCTGAGTCAAGCCATAGATCCACTTCGTGAACTGCGAACAAAAACGGCGACCCGAGCACACTAACGACCAACAGAACCGACGGATCTGAAAACCAAAGAAGAATCTCAATAGATTTGAGCCTCGAAACCCATGGCTCCACCACGTCAAAAACCACCACGCTTCAACAACCGAAGGATACAGAGACAAGAAATAAAAAACTAAGCAAGAAATTAGAGGAGGTGACCGACGCCGGCGCTATATGATCCGCCACGCGCCGGTCAAAAACTTGACTGAAGCTTTGTTTTAAGGCAGGCGGCGAGAGAGAAAAGCTAGGTTAAAAGAATTTTTTACTGAAACGAAAAGAAGAGATTTTTATTTTTTCGGTTTAACCATTCATTGTCTTGTTTCCTTCCTAGTTTGTTTGTTTTTTTTTCATCTGAATGATTCCATTATATTATACGAAGGTAGAATGCAGTTTTGAAATACAAGACCGACAAGAGTCGAAACTCTTTTGGAAACTAAGCCGGCGGAAGACATAAATATCCCCGGAGTCTAAAAGCCCAAAAGAGGGAAGCGAAAGCCCAAAAGAGGGAAGCGAAAGCCCAACAAAGGGAAGTGATGCCCTAAAACACATGGACACTAACTAAAACCGAGTGAACAAACCACCGAAGACGAAACAATGGACAAACTCGTAAACTAAAGCTCAGAAGGAAATAAAAGGACATGCCAAACTTACTCCAACACCGATGTGAGCAAAGCTAGCCACAAAGGACAACATGCGTCCATCTTGCAGTTAACGAAACCTCCTATTGTGAAGCCAAGGTACCTCTCAAAGCAGATGAACCTAAACTTCTATTCCGGCAAGACAAACATGAGACACATAAACCAAATCCCACAAATCTTCCAGAAGCGGCGATTGTCGAATACAACGACTAGGAGACGCCTCGTTAGAAGTCATGAACTGACCAGACCTCGATCAAGTCTTGAGTGTAGAGACAAGGAGCGAAACAAACCTCAAACCGGAAGATACTACACTCAGATGAGAGAAGCACACGATCGAACCGGAGAGATCACATAAAGCTTATCAAAGGGCTAAAGTAAGATCAACAAAATCACGAAACCAAAAGAGCGCCAGCAAGCTATGACCAAAGCTTCGGGCTAACAGCAAGAGAAGAGAGAGCGAGGCAGCCTAAACTGACCTACACACTTTCTAAAACTGCCTAAACCAAAGATTTGTACCACCCAAAGTCACAAAAACCAGAGACCAGAAGCAGCAATCTCAAGGACGAAAGAAAACAAAAGTCAGATGATACCGTAGAGGAGGCAAGAACATCTCGGCCGCATTAGAAGCTAACACATCGTGTATCACCATCGGACGCCAACGGGCCATAACCAGATCTGCAAATACGCACAACAAAGCAACCGACGAGATAGGACAATTCGCGGCGCACCAACGCGAGCCAAAAGGAGACGATTTTCAGGGAAGATCTTGCCGAGATCGGAAGAAGACCCAAACCTAAGCCGTTCCGAAACTTTTGTAACTAGATCCGCTAGAGGAGGGCTAGGAATGGCTCCGAAACTAAAGACGCAAGGAAGAACAAACCACGGACGGCCCTCTCACGACTCCGGCGAGAAGCGCCGGTGGCCGGAGAGGTCAAATCAAAAGGAGAAGCTTGACGGCGGCTAGGGCGAGTTGGTCTTCGCAATTCTTCTACGAGTCACGACCACCTCCAAGTTAATTTCCTTCCTAGTTTCTAATGAGGCTTTTATTTGTCAAGTGATATATAACAAATATGAAATATTGATTTTTTTTTTGTCAAAGGTGAAATATTGAAATTGTATAATGTAAACGTCACTATTTAAGAGGTGGGAGCGTGGTGCTGGTCCAATGAATGCTGGTTGGGACGGAGTGAAGGATTTTGAAAGCCTTACAGGTCCATCCATATCCTCTTATCCTAAATATCTACTTTAAATTAATGGTTAAAGTCCATCATATGTTTTAATGTTTATAACGTGGAGCTTTTAATATATTACTATCTTCAATTGGTAGTATTTATCTTGAATTTATTGATTCTAGTTATAATAAATTTTCAAGATTTCATCTAATTATATTAAATTTAGTTGAACAAAATCTAGAAATCAATCATGAAAAATATTCACATGAGCTATTAGCGCAAGTGGTCTCCAGTGAGTTGCTACCTAGTAACCAGGGATTACCATGCCTTTCCTTGTTGGAGTTAAGGAAAAAGGTCGATGCAATATTAAAAGGAAAAAGGTCGATGCAATATTAAAAGGATATGTATTATGAGCATGATTATTGGTTGGACTCATATTAGAAATCCAAATCATATATATAATTGTAAATAATACAAAATTTGAAATTTAGACACTTTGAGTCCAAATCAACCAATTGAAAACACATAAATGTCTAAATGACTTCTAAAAATCTAACTTTAGACATGAGTCCAATGTTTTCTTTTTTTATTTATTTAAATTTTAGACATTTTTGCTTTAGATCTAGTACTTATACCTCTTGATAATGATGCTCTAAAGACATAAAAAAAAAAGACTATCAGCGTTAAACATCAAAAGCATTATTGTTACAATAAGAAATTTAGGAAATATCAGAAAATTTAATTGTGATATATATATATATATTAACTCTCTCCAGGAAATTGACATTTCTAGAATTTTTTTTTAAATATATAAAATTTTCAGCTGCAATACATTTGAAAATTTCAAGAACGTAGACACATGCATGTACGTACGTATGCACATGGTCACCGTACACCGATTTTGTATACATACGTACTTCTTACTTTCTCAGTTTCAGCAGCCAATACACTTTATTTATTTATTAATGTGCTATGTATAGTTTTATATACATAGAGGAACTTGAAATAATAGAACAAGTGGTGAAGATGAAAAAAAGAAAAGAAAAAAAAGATCAAGTGGTGTGAATAAATAGAATGAAAAAAAGCAAGTGTATTCAAAGTTTTAACAAAAAAAAAGTGTATTCAAAGTGGTTAAAACGAAACGAATGGAACATATGAAACAAACGGTGCAGAATTAACGAAAGAAAAATTTAATGGAAACAGAAAGTAAAAACCATATAGAATCGAAATATTATAAGCTTTAAACAAAATGGAAACCGTATATATATAACAAGTACCGCATTTTCATTATTTTATGTCACCACACCTTTATAAATTGTACGAAAAGATATGATGTTATAATAGAATAATACTAACAAATCTAACATACGAATAGCTAACTGGAACCATGCTTTCGATATTAAAATATCAAGAATGCTTGGGCCATTCGTTGGTCTACCATGGTAGGAGGTGGCATGTGCATAGTGGTTGAATGGTCATGATACGCCATTATCATATCATATTCCATCGCAATATTATAGTGCCACCGTCGATCTAAATAATTGAAGTGGTCGGTCCACTTATGCGATGTTCCACCTGTTCGTGACATTGATAATTCATTAAGTTAGTCATATCCCTTGAGGAGATCTAATAAATACTTCTGTGTTTACTAATCAATATGTCATGTTAATAATGGTGGCGTCGACAAGTTTAGAATCTAGGCAACTTTGGACATTTTCAGTCTTCCACCAATAACAGAAATCGTTTTTTAAATCATTCACTTTAGTTTTGCCCAAAAAACAAAAAATTTATTTGGTTTAGTTAACAAATGAAAAATCGGAGATCAATATGTATTCATTTGGTAGCTACAAAATTCACACGGCATCTTCAAAACCATTTACGACGAATCCAAACTTATTAAAAAAATCGAAATAAAACAAAACTTATTCATAATGTTCAAATACTAAAATATATATAGTTATAGTTTTTGTCCAAAAAAAGAAAAAGATATAGTAGCTTATAGTAAGTATTAACATTTTCACAGAACTTTTTCAATTTCGAATAAGATATTTAGTAACCACGAAATAATATTGTAAAGTGGGTAAAGTAAATAATGTCATGAGCTTTGTTGTTTATACACATATATATTTGAGCACAAACAATTATAGAAAAGTTTTCCCCCGACATTGTTGTGTTTTAATAAAAGAATATCTAGTGGGTGTATACAAAATAATGGGATGATAACAGTCATGATTAAGACAGCTTGATTATGTTTGATTGATTAGAGTTGAGCCTAATTAAATATCACAATGTACGCTAACGATTTTTTTCTTCTTATTTTCGTTTCGGGGTTTATATAATAAAAAAGAAAAATGACAACCAAAGCAAAATCATCATGTTATATGTCCGCTTCATTCATCTGCCTCAATTTATATATTTTCGTAGCTTTATATATTATACAAGACTATTAAAATTTAGCCACTACCGTGACATGCAAAACCGTGGCCATAAAATGTCACGTTTAGGCCACACTATTTTGAAAATGTTAAATTTGTGGCCATCCACATTTAAGTTTGTGCCTAAATGGTCACATTGGTGCGGTGGCCAACTTATGACCAAGTGGCTTTTAATTGGCCATTGATCAGTTAGGCACAAATTTAAACGCCTGGACTCTGCAAATCAATGTATCTATGTCAAATTAATGTTTTTTTTTTTTTTTTACAAATCAATGTATCTATGTCAAATTATTGTTTTTATTTATTTACTACAAATCAATGTATCTATGTCAATGGCCAAGTGGCTTTTAATTGGCCAACTCAGACTCTCTAAAACATATATAAATATAGAAAAATACCCTAAAATACCAAGATTAGATTAACAGAAATGAACCAGATGTGGAGAATGGTGTGTGATAATTTCAAGTTTCTCTTGTGGATACATGCACAAACATCACTAACTACTCTAATCTCAATAAAATCTTGGAGTTTTGTGAAGCAACATCAAGAAAGTTCTTAATAGTCTTCAATTTTCAATATGTATGTGTTCCAAAAAACCGATCAGCACAATATAATCGCAGACTTTCATCTTTCTTTCTCCACAATAGAATCCAGTTCAGTAACACCACTGAATCCCAGCTCAGACATATCTTGCTTTGCCATCAAATTCCTGCATGATAAACAGAACCACATCATTCAAATCAATCCAAAGTCACCCGTTCGTGATATTATTCTGAATCCGGAAACCAAAATATAACTTAAATCATTAGAGGATGCTCAAGAAGGACTGACTTTGCCATCCGACACTCGAGATACGTCTTTGAAAGATGCCTACATTGCTCAGACTTATGACCAGAAGACTTGAGACAGTCGAGATAACCTTTCTTCTCCTACAAAAAACAACACTCACATGAAAACATTTCCACGAGTAAGGATTAGGTTGGAGATAAGGAAGGATGTAACAATACCGTGTCGCATTGATGCAAATGATCCAAAGGAAAAATACCCTTTTCTGGTGGTATTGGTCTCAATCCTCTGTTTCCTCCAAACGCTCCACCTTTCAACAAGAATCAACAAACGCCAATGATAATCTGAGTGACTACTAAGTAACACCAATGTTTTGTTTCCTTGCCAATACCAAAATCAATTTTACAGTCTAACCATCAATAATTAACACTGCTTAACTAAGTTCTATCTGAGTATTTGCAAGAGAATTAGGTTTTAGGATTGGAGTTGCATTATGTGCAAAGAATTTCTTCAACATATCTAATTTAAAGTACATTTAAATGGACAATGAAGAGGGATAGTGTATGCCTTAGGCATAACAGTTGTGGGAACACTGAATTTTCGATTTAGGGTTTTTGGTCCAAGGCAACAGAGGTTTTTACAGAAACGCATCACAAACACACAAAAATTCTCAAGATATCAAGAAATTCAATACAAAATAAAACCCGAATAGACCCCTCATAATCTTGGATAGTAGGAGATTAATCGATAGATAAACAGAAATGGAAGAGCAAAGTGACGCACCTGTACTCATCTTGAAGCTTGGGATTCACCAGCAACTATGGTTTAGATTCATATGTCTATGGGGAATAGCTAAATCTTACAGAACCGGTCTTTAAAATTATGGGCCTGAACTTGGCCCGTACGAAGGTTTACATTAATATAGTGGATACATATATTATTAACACTGAAGTATACTATAAGAACCAATGGGTACTGTCGGGTTTCAGGGTGTGAGCTTATGTGGTGCTAGAACACAAATGGCAACAATGATTAACTCCTTTTTCAAGTTTGCATAAATGGAAGAGAACGAAACAAAACTCTCATAACACTATCCATGAACTATAGAACCGCAAGAGGATAGTCTACAACTGTCATTAACAAAAAAAGAAGAAGCAAAAAGGAACATCTGCCAAAACTAGAATATCGAATCCACATCCACAAGTCATCTGCATCACTGTGCACCAGCTGACAAGAACGCACTTCCGGGCTGACGGTTAGCCAACGGACCATGGCAAGATAGGAACTTGGCGTTGACACCATCAGGGACAATCCGCTTCTCTTGCCTTAGCTTTGTGTACTCAGCACGGTTAAACTTGGTGAATCCCCTGAAAAATTTCCAAACTCAAACATCAACAAGAAGCCTTTTGCAAAACATAAAGAGCTTAACATAAAAAAAGCAAACACAATCATACCATTTCCTGCTAACAATGATCTTTTGACGACCAGGGAACTTAAACTTAGCACGACGAAGAGCCTCCTGAGCATGATGTCCATGAGCATCTTTGCACCTCACAGACAAAAGAACCTGTCCGATAGCAACTCTAGCACAAGTACCAAGAGCTTTACCAAAAGCTCCTCTCATACCAGTCTGAAGTCTATCAGCTCCAGCACAAGAAAGCATCTTATTAATCCTAAGAACATGGAAAGGATGAACTCTAATACGGAGATGGAAAGCATCTTTCCCCGCAGATTTCACCATGTACTTGTTACAAGCGATACGAGCAGCTTCAAGAGCTTCACTTGAAACATTCTCTTTCTCCCATGAAACCAAATGAACACAGTAAGGGAACTCATCAACTCCTTTCCTCTTCATACCAACATCGTAAATCCTGATCTTAGGATCGGGAACACCACGACAGTATCTTGATTTTGGGTATGGCTTTCCCTTAATCTGACGGTAACATCTCGCAGGTCCTACAAATTACATACATTTTTACATCTTCAATAACAAGTTTAATCATTTCTGATACACAATTCAAACAAAAGCCTAATCCAAATGTAACATTCCGAGCTTAAGCAAATCTAATAATGCGACTGGAGTGATTAGAAAAATCCATTTTTGACACTGACCCTAATAAACAAAACCTAATCCACACGTAAATTCCGAGCTTAAGCAAGTCTAATTTACGATTCCGGTGATTACTCAAACCCATTTCATAAAAAAAACCATTTCCGCTGAGATCGATAAACAGAGAATGAATCTATCTATCCATAAAAAATCGATTACATTCAGAGAAATTTAGCAATATACTTACTTCGCCCCATCGCGTTGGTTCGGCTCCTTGATTGGTGTTTCGAATCCTAGAAATGAAGAAGAAGACGGCGTAACTTTTTAATATGAACAACAAATAACCCTAACTATCTTCGTCACGTAACTGGATTCGGACAAAAAAAATAAGGCCCATTAAGGAACTAAGGCCCAATATGATATTTTAAGCTTAAAAAAAAACAAAGCCGTGTTTATTCCGTTTTTGCTGTTTTAACCGGCGGCGTTTTTCTGATGACATCAAGCCTCAGTCGCAATTTTGTGTTCCGACGTAAGAATCTTGATGCGTTGTTATCTCCACAATGCCAGAAACTTGTAGAAGATTTAAGATCTTGCAGAGACATCTTCGAAGTTTCTCGAATTCATGGCTACATGGTGAAAACGGGGATTGATAAGGATGATTTCTCAGTGAGCAAGCTTCTTGCTTTTTCCTCTGTACTTGACATTCGATACGCTTCGTCGATCTTCGAGCATGTCTCCAACACTAATCTCTATATGTTCAACACTATGATCAGAGGTTACTCGATTAGCGATGAGCCGGAGCGAGCATTTCGTGTTTTCAACCAATTGAGAGCTAAAGGTATCACCTTGGACCGATTCTCTTTTATCACGACTCTGAAATCATGTTCTCGTGATTTGTGTAGTTCAATTGGTGAGGGATTGCATGGGATTGCTTTGAGATCTGGGTTCATGGTTTTTACTGATTTGAGGAATGCTCTTCTACAATTTTACTGTGTTTGTGGAAGGATTAATGATGCTCGGAAAGTGTTCGACGAAATGCCGCATAGTGTTGATTCTGTTTCGTTTAGTACTTTGATGAATGGGTATCTTCAGGTTTCTAAGAAAGCGTTGGCTTTGGATTTGTTTAGGATTATGCGAAATAGTGAAGTGCCCGTTAATGTCAGTACGTTGCTTAGCTTTCTTTCGGCTACTGGAGATCTAGGAAACTTGTCTGGAGCAGAATCTGCTCATGGTTTATGCATCAAGATTGGTTTTAATTTAGACTTGCATTTAATCACAGCTTTGATTGGGATGTACGGCAAAATTGGGGATATCGGTTCAGCACGCAGGATCTTTGATTGCGCCATTCGAAAGGATGTTGTTACATGGAACTGTATGATTGACCAATATGCCAAAATGGGTATCCTTGAAGAGTGTGTATGGCTACTGAGGCAGATGAAGTATGAAAGAATGAAACCGAATTCATCTACATTTGTTGGGCTGTTGTCTTCCTGTGCGAACAGTGAAGCAGCATTCGTAGGACGTAGTGTTGCTGATCTAGTGGAAGAGGAAAGAATAGCTTTGGATGCAAAACTTGGAACTGCACTCGTTGATATGTATGCAAAACTAGGAATGCTTGACAAAGCTGTTGAGATTTTTAATAGAATGAAGGATAAGGATGTTAAGTCCTGGACCGCAATGATCTCGGGCTACGGAGCTCATGGACTAGCAAGAGAAGCAGTAACACTATTCAATAAGATGGAGGAAGAGAACTGCAAGGTGAGACCCAATGAGATTACCTTCTTGGTTGTGCTGAATGCTTGTAGCCATGGAGGGTTGATAATGGAAGGAATCAGATGCTTTAAGAGGATGGTTGAGGCTTACAGCTTCACGCCCAAAGTTGAACATTATGGTTGTGTGGTTGATCTTTTAGGTCGAGCGGGGCAGTTAGAGGAAGCGTATGAGTTAATAAGGAACTTACCTATCACAAGTGATTCAACGGCTTGGCGTGCTCTGCTAGCTGCTTGTAGAGTATACGGGAATGCAGATTTAGGGGAAAGTGTGATGATGAGATTGGCTGAAATGGACGAGATACATCCGGCTGATGCAATTCTTATTGCTGGGACACACGCTGTTGCAGGGAATCCACAAAAATCATTAGATGATGAGTTGAATAAAGCGAGAAAAGAGGCTGGATACAGCGCCATTGAAATAGAATAGAGTAGGCAATCTCTGGAGTTCATTCACCTCTTATCTTTTTGTTGAAAATTTTATGAGCAAATTGTTGTTCAATAAGGTAAAACCCTGTATTTAAAACCCTGTAACTTATGTATAGAGAAAGGAGACAATTGATCTTAATGAAATAGTTTTGATGGAGAGTGAAAAATCTATTTGACTGTGATGTTCAGCGACTCTAAACATTCTTTCCCCTTTTCACCACCCAAGCACTTCTCTGCTTGTCATTGTGTTAATTGTTTCTGCCTGCAAAAGAATCATTTAGGTTTTGTTTCCTAGTTACATGAACAAGCTCACTAAGGGTAAACTGATTCATTAATGACATGATGGTTGTCGCTGGCTTTGGGCATTATGGATCATAACCTGAGACAGTCATTATGTGGCTACTCAATTGTTGTCATGATGATTTTAAACAAGAAAGAAAGAATAAATTTGAAACTCTATTGGTGAACTCATAACCCAATAGTTTAAGTAAATGAAATCATGAAATGATAGCTTAGTAGCAGCAATATCAATTCATAATACTCCTGTAAAACTCCAATCCATTTGAGTGGAGGAGGTTAGAAGTTGGGATGATGTTGAATTCCTAGGCATAGATTGTAACTCCTTTTGTGTCTCTTCAAGATTGCAGGTTGCTAAGAGAAAGATCCCCACTGTCTTTAAACACTTTGAGTTAGCGAGAATGTATGTCATTAGTTGTTTCTCATCTTCTCTTCCTCGATACCCTCTCCACCCAAAGATCTCTAAATGAGATGACAAGCATTCGGGAGTAGAAGAACTCGGCTGGTTCCACGAAGGTGGGAGACACCCGTAATCCTGGTATCAATACATTTGCTTTAATGTTAAGTACATCAAAACTAGATGCGCTTGTGTTTAAGGGAGGATGGTATACTTACAGTGTCAATCGTAAGAGTTTTTAGTTTAGGAGAAATTTGAAGAAATATCATAAGTGGTTCCAACCAATCTACATAACAACTTGGAAAAAAGCAAAACTCTATAAGCCGAGAGAACTTGATGGCGTTACAGCTAGCAACCTGTGATAGAACAAATAACATTAGTTGGCTAAGCAACAAGGAACAAAGAAGAGAACCGGAGATATGTAATCGCTACCATTGATTTAGTCAAACACAAGTACAGATGTATGACAGAAGAAAGAGATCTCAGCAACTTGTCATCGAGGTTATGAACATTGCCGATGCGTGCCACATTAAGGCAAGACATATTCTCTATCTTGCTTTGCCATCAAATTCGTTGGAAGTGGTACGACTTTGAAACTTTCCTGGGAATAAAACCGTGAATAGTCTTTATTTTTCTACAATGAAATAAACTAACTAATAATGATAAGTTGTTCCTAACAAATGGGCAATGTGGTGTGAGAACAATGAGAACCCTTTACCACAAAATTCGTAAATGAAAGAGAACCCTAAATATCTTTGTCACGTAACTGGATTCGGACAAAAAAGAAAAGGCCCATAAAGGAATTCAGGCCCATGGAATCATGAAAATGAAAGAAAAAAAAAAACATGTTTATGGCGGAAAACCGAAAATAATGTTTTTGGTGGTAAAACGTGAAATTATTTTTTTTTGGCTGAAAACCGGATTTACATTGTTTGGCAGAATCATGTTTTGGTGGGAAACACAAAACATGAAAAACGAGAAATTAAGTTTTAAGCGGAAGAACACTGAATCTCGGAGTGCCATTTGGACCCTTTATGGAGGAGGAAAAAATAACTTTGGATGCAATACTTAAATAAAACAGATTTGATAGATAGTGAACAATCTACCATCTAAACATAGTTGTACTGGAAAAAAAAAACCTTTACGATAATAATGTCAGATAGTCATATTGCGGCAAAACTAAAAACACTCTCAATCTAAAAGCACAAAAAGGTAGAAAACACAGATTTTTTTAATAGGTAGTTTTGACTACCATTTTTTTTTCTTATTTATAAAAGCATCATTAAGAAACAACAATACAGAAACATCTTGACACAACAATACAGAAACATCTTGACAACAATACGTAGAAAAGAAAGTACTCTCAGCCAATCGAGATGATTGAGCAAATACACAAGAAGAACATATACTTTTCTAAAACGAGTTCATCATCTTGACACAGGGACCCTCGTTTTAGACAAGATACTTGTTTTAAACGAGTTCATCATCTAGCCGCCTTCTTCTTTTTCTTGTCTAGGATCTTCTTTCTCTCGGCCTTCTCCTTAAGATGAGCCACGACCGTAGGTGGAAGCACCGGCTTCGAGTGCTTAGAAGCACGAGGCTGCAAATAAACATAACATTCAATGACCCAAATATGATGAACCTTATTTTCAGATCAAATCTAAATCCAAGTTTAAAAACTCAATGACCAGTATCTAAGTCTAAATCAACATTTCAAAAATTCAATTACCCAAGAATGATGAAAATTATTTTCAGATCAAATCTAAGTCTAAGTCTAAAACCTCAATGACCAGTATCTAAGTCTAAATCAACATTTCAAAAATTCAATGACCCAAGAATGATGAAACTTATTTCCAGATCAAATCTAAGTCTAAGTCTAAAAACTCAATGACCAGTATCTAAGTCTAAATCAACATTTCAAAAATTCAATGACCCAAGAATGATGAAACTTATTTTCAGATCAAATCTAAGTCTAAGTCTAAGAACTCAACGACCAGTATCTAAGTCTAAATCAACATTTCAAAAATTCAATGACCCAAGAATGATGAAACTTATTTTCAGATCAAATCTAAGTCTAAGTCTAAAAACTCAATGACCAGTATCTAAGTCTAAATCAACATTTCAAAAATTCAATGACCCAAGAATGATGAAACTTATTTTCAGATCAAATCTAAGTCTAAGTCTAAAAACTCAATGACCACTATCTGAGTCTAAATCAACATTTCAAAAATTCAATGACCCAAGAATGATGAAACTTATTTTCAGATCAAATCTAAGTCTAAGTCTAAAAACTCAATGACCTGCAGTATCTAAGTCTAAATCAACATTTCAAAAATTCAATGACCAAAGTATGATTAAACCTATTTTCAGATCAAATCTAAGTCTAAGTCTAAAAACTCAATGACCAGTATCTAAGCTAAGTCAACCTTACAAAAATCCAATGACAATTACGAAGAACAAATAATAATGTGAATTTCAATTTCTGAAAAAAAATCAGAGAGAGGAGGAGCTAGCGCCGGAGAAGCTAGCGCCGAAAGAGCTACGTCTGGTGGCGGAGGAGCTAGCGCCGGAGGAGCTACGTCTGGTGGCGGAGGAGCTTTGTCTGGTGGCGGAGGAGCTAGCGCCGGAAGAACACAGCGAGTGCGAGCAATCTACAGAAAAGAAATGAAAAAACAATCATCATTAACTGAAATTCAAATTCTAAAACAAATCAGGAGATCGAAAGTGTGTTCAAACCTGTGGAGGAGCAAGCGCCGGAGGAGCGAGCGCCGGAGTTAGAACGTCTGGTGGCGGAGGAGCGAGCGCCGGAAGAACACGGCCAGTGCGAGCAGTCTGTTTTTTTTTTTTTTGAATAAACGATCTATCAGAATCTGAAATTCAATTTCTACAAAAGCTAGAGAGATAGAGAATGTGTTCGAACCTATGGAGAATCTAGAGCCGGGGTTACAACATCTGGCGACGGCGGAGCGAGCGCCGGAAGAACACGGCCACAGTTACTTGGAGAAATCTGAAAAAAAAAACAAATTAACAAACAAACATGAGAATGTGAATTTGAATTTCATATTCGAAGACTAGATTGAGAAGAAGAAAACCTTCATCATGTGAATTTGAATTTCAAAAAAAGAGTGTGTGGTGAAACAAAAAAGAGCATATATATATATATATATATATATCTTGTTCAACCTCTGTACGCTGCTCAACTTTTACATAAACGATGAGAAGTTTTTGGACTTAAATTCCTTTACATTTCCAACAATCTCACCAACATCATCAAGGTTTTGCAAAATAAATTTGACAAAACCACCACATTAACAAAACGACACATGATATAAACATGTTGGGATTCAGATTCAATTTCAATAAATCAAAGAAACAATTTTTCTTAAGGAAACAATAGTATATGAGCAAATATTTATTTAACTACACTAGTGAAATCTTTTTTCTTTGATTAGAATTGCACTAGTAAACCATATTCACAGAATTTCTAATTATTTTCTAGATCTCAAATAAATTAAAGAAACAATTTTTTTTAAAGAAACGATAATATACGAGCAAATATCTTATTAAACTAAACTAGTGAAATCTTTTTTCTTTGATTAGAATTACACTACCATATTCACATATTTCCTAATTATTTTCTAGATCTCAAACACACAATTTATATTTCAAAAACTTCGAAGATCTTAATGTCTATTTAGACAACATACCATGTTTAAAATATCAACATACCATGTTTAAAATATTCCGCCTCCAGCTGCGCCAGCTGCGCCAGTTCCGCCTCCAAGTGCGCCAATTCAGCCTCCAGCTGCTCCTGAGGCTCCAGCTGCGCCATTTCTGCCTCCAATTGCGCCAGTTCCGCCTCCAGCTGCTCCAGCTGCGCCAGTTCCGCCTCCAGCTGCGCCTGTTCTGCCTCGAGCTACGCCAGTTCAGCCTCTAGCTGCTCATGAGGCTCCAGCTTCGCCAGTTCCACCTCCAGCTGCGCCAGTTCCGCCTCCAGCTGCGCCAGTTCAGCATCTAGCTGTACCTGAGGCTCCTCCACATAATCCACTGGAAGTCGCTCGGGCTAATTTGAGGATGAGGATTGCAGCAAAAGCAGCAGCAAGGAAGAAGAAACTTTCGGCTCCTTTTGAGACACCAGAGGCTCGTGCCGCAAGATTCAAGTACCATGGCTCCACCTCACCAGTGTTCATTGTTCCTAAGTAATGAATCGGCTCTCTCTCACTACTTTCTCCCACTACTCCCTCTAGTACGATATTAAAAAACCTTTTGTTAAAAAAAAAAAATCTCAAAATATGTAATTTCAGTCATAACAATATTATCAAAATTTAACTTTGCAAACTATTTAAAAATAAATGTGTTTGGTAATGTGAATAGTAAAATTAAATAAATAAAAATAAAATAGTTGAGAAAATTTGTGGATTTGCCACGTAAACACTAAAAAATCTCTTTTAATATATAGAGGATTTTAGTGATGACAAAAATTCAAATATGAGTTATTTTCGTACATTAAACCAAAGCTCAATTAAATGAAATGTACCAATTAGTCATATCGACAAAGTAAAAGCTACCTAAACAAAACCACCAATGTCGAAAAAAGAGAATAGATCGGAGATGGGTCGATCCATGAGCTGGAAAATTCTTAAATCCATTAACCACTACACCAAAGGGCGAAACATGCATGACTGTGAATTTAATTTAATTTAATAAAGATCTAATAGTTTCGAAACCACCACCACGAGACGGAGAGTCCACTTTTATTTCTTCCGCTCCGTTTGTCTGTCCTCTTCTTCTTCTCCACCTTCGAAATCTATCTTCTCCGATATCTCTATCTATATCTCTTCTTACACGCCGACGCTGCAAATATCCTTAAGCTTCTTTCTCCTTTCAACTTTTCGATTATTATTCCATTTCCTAACCTTTTTTTTCCCCCAAATCTATTATCGGAAGCAAAGAATACAATTCCAAACCCTAATCCGATCATCCGTCTTTCCTCTCCGGTCAGTCTTCCGATTTCCTCGATCCACCTGATTTTTGTTATGATTTTATATATACCTCCTTCTCGTTGTTGTGTTTTTGGAATTTAGATTGATTTGAGTCGATTTGCTTTGGATTCAGGTTTCAAAATATGAGTAATCAGAAGAAGAGGAATTTTCAGATAGAGGCGTTTAAGCATCGCGTCGTTGTAGATCCCAAATACGCTGATAAAACTTGGCAGATTCTTGAGCGTGCGATCCATCAGATTTATAATCAAGATGCTAGCGGTCTCAGTTTCGAAGAACTTTACAGGTCTTTTCTTATATTCTCTTACCTTTCTTGTACAAATTGGTAATGATTCTGGAATCAATACTGGATTTGAGCTGTTGGTGTTAGTCTTTCTTTCATTCAGCTAGGTTTCGTGTTAATTTGGTTGTCTAAATTGAGTTATTGTGTATATTGGCTCAGAAATGCGTACAACATGGTCCTGCACAAGTTTGGTGAGAAGCTTTATACTGGGTTTATTGCTACTATGACTTCTCATCTCAAAGAAAAGTCCAAGCTTATCGAGGCAGCTCAAGGAGGGTCATTCCTTGAAGAGCTCAATAAGAAATGGAATGAGCACAACAAAGCGTTAGAGATGATTCGAGACATTCTCATGTATATGGATAGGACTTACATTGAGAGCACCAAAAAGACCCATGTTCATCCGATGGGGCTTAACTTGTGGAGGGATAATGTTGTGCATTTCACTAAGATACATACAAGACTTCTAAACACTCTTCTTGATCTAGTGCAGAAGGAACGGACTGGTGAAGTTATTGACAGGGGGTTGATGAGGAATGTGATTAAGATGTTTATGGACTTGGGTGAATCTGTGTATCAGGAGGATTTTGAGAAGCCGTTTTTGGATGCGTCTTCTGAGTTTTATAAGGTTGAGTCTCAGGAGTTTATTGAATCTTGTGATTGTGGGGATTACCTAAAGAAAGCAGAGAAACGCCTTACTGAAGAAATAGAGAGGGTAGCACACTACTTGGATGCCAAGAGCGAAGAGAAGATTACTAGTGTGGTTGAGAAAGAGATGATTGCCAACCACATGCAGAGACTGGTTCACATGGAGAACTCAGGTCTGGTTAATATGCTTCTGAATGACAAGTATGATGATTTGGGCAGAATGTACAACTTGTTTCGCAGGGTTACTAATGGTCTTGTTACTGTCAGAGACGTTATGACTTCTCATCTTAGGGAGATGGGAAAACAACTGGTTACTGATCCGGAAAAGTCAAAGGATCCGGTGGAATTTGTACAGCGTCTATTGGATGAGCGGGATAAATATGACAAAATCATCAGCACCGCATTTGGCAATGATAAAACCTTTCAGAATGCGCTGAATTCTTCATTTGAGTATTTCATCAACTTGAATGCTCGTTCTCCTGAGTTCATCTCACTGTTTGTTGATGACAAGCTACGGAAAGGACTTAAGGGTATCGCCGATGTGGATGTGGAGGTTATCCTTGATAAAGTTATGATGCTATTCCGTTATTTACAAGAGAAAGATGTCTTTGAGAAGTACTACAAGCAGCATTTGGCTAAAAGGCTTCTCTCAGGCAAAACTGTGTCAGATGAAGCAGAGAGGAGTTTAATAGTGAAACTAAAGACAGAATGTGGCTATCAGTTCACTTCAAAATTGGAAGGCATGTTCACTGACATGAAGACTTCAGAGGACACAATGCGCGGGTTTTATGGCAGTCACCCCGAGCTTTCAGAAGGACCAACCCTTATTGTTCAGGTACTTACAACTGGTTCTTGGCCAACACAGCCTGCAGTACCTTGTAATCTCCCAGCTGAAGTTTCAGTTCTCTGTGAGAAGTTCCGTTCCTACTACCTTGGGACCCACACCGGTAGAAGATTGTCCTGGCAAACAAACATGGGCACAGCAGATATCAAAGCCATCTTTGGAAAGGGTCAGAAACATGAACTGAATGTGTCGACTTTCCAGATGTGTGTTCTCATGTTGTTCAACAACTCTGATCGACTCAGCTACAAAGAAATCGAACAGGCTACTGAAATCCCGGCAGCAGATCTTAAACGCTGTTTGCAGTCGCTAGCGTGTGTAAAGGGCAAAAACGTGATAAAGAAAGAACCCATGAGCAAAGACATAGGAGAGGAGGATTCGTTTGTTGTGAACGACAAATTCACCAGCAAGTTTTACAAAGTGAAGATCGGAACCGTGGTAGCCCAAAAGGAGACAGAACCAGAGAAGCAAGAGACGAGACAGAGAGTGGAGGAAGACAGAAAACCTCAGATTGAAGCAGCCATTGTAAGGATCATGAAGTCCAGAAAAATACTAGACCACAACAACATAATCGCAGAGGTGACGAAACAGTTGCAGCCACGGTTCCTGGCTAATCCCACAGAGATAAAGAAGAGAATCGAGTCGCTCATTGAACGAGATTTCTTGGAAAGGGATAGTACAGACCGGAAACTTTACCGCTATCTAGCCTAAATAAGTTGAATACCACAACCAAAAAAAAAGACTTCACTCTCTTTTTTTTTCTTTGCTTTGTTTCTTCTGTTTGGTGTAAAAGCTCTGAACTGTACGGTAGTCGGTAAGAACGAACCAACACTGCATCACTACCGTTTAATCGAATATTTACATTTGTTTCCTTTTCTTTCGTCTTTCATCGGATACTGTTGTTATATGTGATTACAGCTTCTGGATTTGGGCCGGGTCGAAGCCTTTTAAGGCCCATTATATAAATAGTTTAAGAGCCGAAAATATCTTCGCGGCTAAAATTTCAACCAGTCGTAAAAAAATCCCGCCAAACGTTGGCAACGTTTTGTTTATAGCGTTTTCATAGCACAAACGGTTCCATTGACATTTCTCGGAAAAAAATCTCTCACAGTGACTGACTTTGGTTCTTTATCTTTAACAATCGCCGGAAAATTAAGGATATGGATATCTCCGACATAGCTAGGAAACTTAGTCTCGATAACAACAAGCTTTTAATCCGAAAAGCTGCAGAGATCCGCCGTCTTTGCGATGCTCAGTTCGATTCATCCATCATCGGCGTTGTAAGATAATCCGATTCTGAATCCCAAAGTTTCACATCGAATACTTTGATTCTTATTTTTCCTTATGTGTTTGAAATCTGATTTTGATCTCAGGGTGAGATCTGTAAAGCTGTGATATGTCTAGAAATCGCCGCCTCTAGGTAAAATTTTCTTAATTGATTATATCGATTTCAATTTGCATATTGGGTTATTGCAGTATATTAATTACTCGATTCGAATCTATTGTTAGGTTGCAGATTATATTCGATAGACAAGCAGCGATTAAATTGAGTGGTATGTCGGAAAAGGCTTATTCTAGATCATTCAATAGTCTCCAAAACGTTATTGGGATCAAGTGAGTCTCCATTTTCATGTCTTTCTTTTAGTTGTTTAATGAATCTGTTGGTTGGTGGAGTTAATCTTGATTGATGTGTGATTAATTGTGCATTTCAGGATTAAGCTTAATGTAAGAGAATTGGCGGTTCAGTTTGGTTGTGTTAGAATAATCAAATCTGTGCAAAATGTGTTATCCTCGTAAGCCCTCGTTCGCCTTTTTGTGTTGTCTCGATCCGTTTCTATTGTGTACTTAAAGATTTGCATGCCATATGTTTGTTAAAATGCCTTCAGTTCAAGTAATTGCTTGTTTGTGTTAGGTATAAGGAGCGGTTTCTTGCGTCACTGCCAGCATCGAGGCGGGCAAATGCTGACTTTACTAGACCTGTATTTACAGCTGCTGCTTTTTATTTGTGCGCTAAAAAGCAAAAGGTAATACTTAACTTTCTTTCCTTTTTGAGGAATGTTGGGGATACTTTTCGATTGCTTGACGTTTCTGAATGTTGGTTTTGTTATCTATTTGCAGCTTAAGGTAGATAAGCTTAGGCTGATTGAGGTTTGTGGAACATCAGAATCTGAATTCTCTTGTGTAAGTGACATTGTTATTTCATAGAGACACTGATGTCTAGAATTATGACTTGATATCCAAAGTACTGACTAGGAACTACCTACAGGTCTCAACCTCCATGACAGATCTTTGCTTTGACTGTGTTGGGATCTCAAAGGAAAAGAAAGATGCAAAAGACGTGAAAGGAAACCGAGGTATGGTTATTCAGTTCTCTCTCTCGAGAAAACGTTTCTTGTCTTACATTAACTACTAGTCTATACATATGTCAATTGCCTTGCATTAGTTCAATTCAGTGAAGGCTTATCTTCATTCAATAAGTGATTATGTGCAAAATCTTCCTCAGACTTGCTTGATGTGTTACCTGGTAAGAGGAGACTAGAGGATGGTGGATATTCATCTGATGATGAGGTACTTACATGGCAACCGACTTCTTTCCAATAATCTGTTTAGAATCATTCCCTCTTTGTGATGTATCAAATGTACATACTTGTGACTGATTCACACTACATTGATTTGCTTCTGCAGTCTTCGTGTTACAAAAGACACAAGAAGATGGAAGAGGCTAAGTATGAGGACTGGAAATCTACAGTCGTTAATTCGATCAAGCAGAACCCAGAGAAAGGTGCTTATACCTTCCCATATAACTTAAAAGTATTGATTCATCTTATGTTTCCTTTGTTTCTTATGTTTCTTCTCTGTTTTTCAGGAACTAAGAGAGTTATACAGGCCAGTCTCAATTTCCCAAAGAAGTCTGATACAAAAGAGTTGCAAGTTGATTCATAACCTTACACACATTCAGAGACTCAAATCTTGTTCAAGTTATTGTTGTTTTCATCATATGAAATATGTGTAAATGACAATTCTTGAAAAGCAATGTTTTTTTCCCCAGACCATTTTATAGATTTCTAAGCAAATAATGGACACAAAAATGTCTAGAAAACTTGGATAAATTGACTAAACTACATGTTATTTCGTAAAACCAACTGGTAAGCATCGGTTAGATTCGGTTTACTGGTCCTCGACACATCTCTTTTCCTAACTTTCAGCTTAGTAAGTACGTCGTCGTTTGAGGGTATAACTTGAAAAGAGCGACAAAATAAGTAAATAACAAAACGCGGGAAAGATACATCTTTGCTCCTCCATCGAACGGTCAAAAAAGGATCCATCTAAAGCTCGATCTCTTCATCGTTTGCCACGTAGCAGAAATAGCTTTTGCTATTTTAGTTTATTTCTCTCTCTTCCCCAATTGAACCTTCTTTTTTGAGTTTCTATTAGGCCTGGGCGTTCGGTTTACTCGGTTTAATCGGTTCGGTTTATTCGGTTTTTTGATTTTTCGGTTATCTAGAAAACCTGCCGAATTGAACCGAAATTTTATTCGGTTCGGTTCGTTCGGATCTCGGTTTATTCGGTTCGGTTCTCTGCTTAAAAATCTATTCCGAATTAAACCGATTTTTTTTCTATTTCGGTTTATTTAAACCGAATTAGCCCTAAATACAGATAATGGGCCCAAAAAAATCTGTAATCTAGTAACAAACCAATAAAAAAAACCAATTACAATTACAAAACCAAACTCATCACATAACTATGGATTAAAGCCCAAACCCATTACAATTAGGGTTTTCCATGAAGTGGCTGACGGCGAGGCTGCGAGGAGACGTCAATGGCAACGGCGACTGTTGGATCTCCTCGTCCGATGAGACTTCCGACAATATCTGGTCAAAATAGACAACAATACAACACTTCAATTCTATATTTCATACCTCTAAATCGTTATAGAAGGAATAGTAAGGATAAAACTCCGGTTCTTTTTCATTCTAAACTCCATGAGAAATCAAATAAACCAACCCCAAATCACATTGAAGAGAAAAACTCAAAAATTGATGATGGGTGAGACAACTTACTGTAATCTAGCGGACGAAGAAGTACAAGCTGGAAAAGATCAAGAGGTAGAACCGGCGAAGAGACGAGATGATATGATTATTCGATGTTTTGTTTCGAATTTTGAAGAGGAGAGAAAGAACTGGCGAGAGAGAGATGCACGGAGGTTGAAGAGAAGCAATCATATTTTTTTTATCTAGGGTTAAGCATAAAAAATGACTTTATGTCGTTTTGGGCTGAGTATAAAACATTATTGGGCCACATGTCTTTTATTTTTGACTTATCAAGGCTAACACATTTGTTTGGGCTTAATATAAAATAATTTGAATCCACATGTAAATCAGCCCAATTTCAAACAAAGTAAAGAACCTAATCGATGGTGAGGGATTAATCATGGCGGCCGCAACTTCTTCTTCTTCATAAGAACACACAGAAGCAGACTAGGAAAGAAGAAGATGGAGTGATGTAGAACAAAAACCGAATAACCGATCGGTTATAGCCTGCCGAACCGAACCGAACCGTTACCCGAAATCCAAAAAAAACTTTGCCGATCGGTTTACTCCTCATCACATAGTCGACGCCAATAACCGAAAATTTTGGGTTTCTCGGTTCGGTTTGATCGGTTTCTGCCGAACGCCCAGGCCTAGTTTCTATTACTAAATTTTCCCTTGTCCTCTTTCATATCTCCAATTGTCAAAATTTCCATTTTTTTTTTTCTGCGTCTGATTCAGCAGATTCCCATTTCATTTCACTGATTCCCAACAAGTTTGGAAGATGGGTTTTGTTCTGTCTGACGAATTGTTGGGAGCTTTTGCTCCGATTCTGGTGTATTGGGTTTACTCTGGGATTTATGTGGGACTCTCATCGTTGGAGAGTTATAGATTGCATTCAAAGGTTGAGGAAGAAGAGAAGAATCTTGTCTCCAAGTCAAATGTTGTTAAAGGTGTTCTTCTCCAGCAGTTTATTCAGGCCATCGTCGCTATCCTTCTGTTCACGGTAATGTGATGAATTGAGTAAATGTTTATAAGTTGAAAGAATTCTTTGATTGTTCTATTCTTTTAGTGAGCTCAATGTTTGAATAATCTATCTCTGAATCTTTCATGAGCTGTGAATTAGATTGGATGGTTTCAGGGTTTAATCTACATGATCTTTATCTCAACAAGGAATCAATGGAGTAGTCTCCTTCTCTGACTTTGGTTATTATATGATTTGACGTGCGAAAACATCGTAAACCGTTAGGTAGCATAATGGAATTCTTGTTCCTGAATGGGGTTTATAAGAAAATATGTTCACGACTCTTGTGACTTGTGAGCGTATGAGTTTGTTGATTGCGCAAAACGTGTCTCTTATGGATGAAATACTTTTACTCAATGTCTGCTAGATTGCATTTGTTCATACCATCAAATCTCTGGACCTCTGTATGGTAGAATTTCTCACAGTGTTGATGAATCCTGAAGCAATTTTCTTATCACTGCAGTTTCATGCTTATTTCTTGTACGTGTTCTGTAAGTCTAAAGCTATGACCTGTACTCAATGTCTATGCCATTACATCTCTTCAATTATGTAAAAATGAACTTTCCCATGGTGTTGCCACATGTTCTGTATGTTCGAGACTTCAGAGTCTACAATTTTTTTTTTTCCATTTACTTGCATGAAAGCTCTTTGAATATGTTGTGGTTCGTCTGCAGGTGACAGGAAGTGATGCCGAGTCCAGCACACAGCAATCTTCCATATTGGTTCTAGCTGGTCAGTGTGTAATTGCCATGTTAGTCCTCGACACATGGCAATACTTCATGCATCGGTATATGCATCACAACAAGTTCTTATACAAACATATCCATTCTCAGCACCATAGGCTTGTTGTTCCATATGCCTATGGAGCTCTATACAACCATCCAATAGAAGGGCTTATCCTCGATACAATTGGTGGCGCCTTATCTTTTCTCATCTCGGGTATGTCTCCAAGAACTTCCATCTTCTTCTTCTCCTTTGCAACCATCAAGACCGTGGATGACCATTGCGGACTCTGCCTCCCTGGAAATGTCTTCCATATCTTGTTTAAGAACAACACCGCGTATCATGATGTGCACCATCAGCTTTATGGAAACAAATTCAACTTTTCTCAACCTTTCTTCGTCATGTGGGATCGGATTCTTGGTACTTACATGCCTTACTCGCTTGAGAAACGGAAAGATGGCGGATTTGAAGCTCGTCCAACTAAACAAGTTAGAGACTGATTAAGTTGAGAGCCTGAGTTTTTGGAACACGTAGAGAGACTAATCAGAAGAAGAGCTGATTTGTTTCTCTCAAGTCTCTAGAGCTGCACTAGCCTTGAGTTTGAGATTTGTATACTGTATATACATTATACATTTTGGTGTACCTGAAACATACCCGATTATTTAAATTTGAGTTTGTAAGAGAAGAAACAGAGTTGGCTTATGCAAAAACTATTAAGTTGAGAATTCAATGATACACCACAGAGTTCCAAGTTTTTGGATTGGGAAACAAATATAAACTGTTACATTAATAAATAGATACTTCAAAAAGTGTTTAAAGACGAGATTGCAGCTCTCTCACATTCCCTAAGGACGAAAGCTCTATCATTTGATCAAAATGTCAGGTCACACCGGCAATAAAGTAACTTCAGTGGGTCGAGGTGGAGTTGGTGACCCAATACTGCTTCACAGCAATCAAAACCTTCTCAGGAACTAAAGGACCATCCTCGTGATCGACAAGCTTCGAATCCCATCTCATTCCGGCGATGATTCTCTTCACCTTGATCAATGTATCCACATCGTCCCGGATTATAACCGCACCTTCTGGTCGGAGAATTCTATCCATCTCCAGAAGAATGTCATCCGCATTGCACCTAAAGAGTTCCGGATTCATACATTAGCAATTTCAAAAAAACCTCAGGATAATTGTTGTTACGAGTCATTAAACAAAACAGATATACATACTTGTTCTTGTACAGACTGAAGAGGTGGTTTGCGTGGATCAGGTCATATGTTCTTGGGTATGTAGAGAAAGCCTCACACCTGAAAACCATTTCAGCAGACAGTCTCTATCAAACCAGAGACAATGAATTTTGAGAAGTTGTGAGAAGAAGAGTGAATAATCTTTTACTTACCAGTCATGGTAGATACCGATGAGTCCTCGTTCATATACAACTCCAAGTCTATTCTTTTCGGCAATTGTGGGAACAACATTCATAACCCAAAGCTTTTGGGATTCGAGAGCAGCAGCAAATCCACCAAACCCTGCGTTCATGTCCATGATGTTACGGTACCTTCCCGTGTCAAGTAGACTGTTGATTCTCTTGTAGGCTTTCACATGTTTTTTCCACTGTCTGTTATCGTCTTCATAGGCATCAACAGTAACACCAGAGATCGAACCGCTAGAGATCCTGGGCGGCACTGCGTTGAGCCTATCTGGGAAAGCCTGTAGCTCACCACCAGCTACTTCATCTGAGCTACTTGTCTCCGGATACGGCGTAATACATGCCTCCATTTTCTTGTACCTAAAGAAGATGAATTATTAGAGCCAAAAATTAAACTTGATGGTGATGTTTCTAACAAGAAAAAAAAAAGAGGTTATAACAAATGATACTTACCAGACATCATCGCTATCATCGGTTTTGCAGAAATTGGCTCTAGGATCATCTTGTCTTGATCGGCATGCCTCATCATTGACTCTCTTCTGCCAAATTGCGATCTCGCCGTGTTCATACTTTTTCTCCCAACAAAGAAGTTTAGCAGCTTCCTCAATCTTTCTTTGTTCCTCTTGAAGGTCCTCCTTAGGACGTTGCCATGCCTTGTAGTTGACTTTCCAGTTGATTGGAGGACCAGATAGAATCCAGTAGCCACCGGGTCTAAGCACACGATCAACTTCCATCAAGTACATCCCATCTGTTAAAACACAAAAACAGCATTGTAAGTAACTGATAGTTATTTTAGACATAGCCAAAGTCAAATTGATATAAGATCAGAAACGGTTCTAACCATTTGCTCCCCATGGAATCAAACACCGAGAGCAATGAGCCATGTCGAAAGCACGTGTTGGGTATGGCAACTTTATGGTGCCAAGAACACCAATAACAGCGGGAACACCTCTCTCGAGAGCAAATTGGACCTGAGCCTCGTGGGAATCTCTTGGCGCGAAAGACATTGCACGTACATTTCTGCTCCATAAGTATGCTCCCCAACTTGCAACCTAGCAAAACGTTTCAATTTAGTTCCATCATGTAATTATTGTAGTTCCAATCAGACAGTCAAGTATAAGACATTACCCCACAACCAGTGTCCAAAGCAGTCCTAACAGTTCCGTTCTCCATAGGTATCACCGAAGCAAGCTGGTCGATATACTTATCAGCACCTTGAGGGAACTGAGTTCCACCGCCAGGGAATCTAAAAACATCACCCTCATACTGAATCCAGTTCTGAATAGCCTTCTCAACAGTCAATGCTTTATACGGCGCATTAGCATAAGGCACATAATCTCGACTCTTGGGCCAAGAGAAAGGTGTCACATATCCTTTAGGAGCCGGTATAAGACAATGCAGCTTCTCCTTCTCGGGAGCACAATGCCTTTCTCGGTAAATCATACTATCTCTCGGGAAAGTCATGGCGCGTCTCTGATCTTGACAGGGAGTGTAATCCGTGTAACGAGCATCACAAGGCTCAAAAGCCTTGACCTTTGCTGCTTCAGAAGCACCAACAATACTCGATTCGCCAGCGTGGTGAGTCTCGAAATTCAAGCTAGGAACAATGTTGCAATCAGCTCCACTGTTAGTCATCTCAAGAGCAATACTGTCTCCTTTACCAAAACCACTTCGTTGCCATGCTCCAAGAATGTAAAAGAAGCAACATAAACTAAACACAATGAAGATCTGAACAGAGCTTCTGGTTTTACCATCAGCAGAACTAGACTTCAACGCCATTATTGATCTAAACAAAAAGTCATACAAGAAAAACACAGATCAGCTCCAAATCAGATCAAGAGTAAAAAAAAAAAAAAGACTGAAGCTTTAGATTTGAATAAGTAGATAGAGACATAACAACAACAGATCAAAAACAAGACAATTATACTAAAAAGACAAAGAGAATCTCAAATCTGTTATATTATTAAAACTAGAACAGAGACATACATTCATAAAGATATAAACTTTTTGGTGCTTGTCTTCAAAGAGAAGCAAAAAATCAAATCTTCCGTAAGATTAACGAAAGAGATCTAATAAACAAGCTACAACAAAACACTAGTCTTAAACTAGTACGATATTAGTTATTAACAGACTGAGAAACAAAACAGAATTTTTAAAAAGTAAGCCCGATCTGGCAAAACATAAGATAGATTTGTCGGAAAGAAGGAACATACAGAGATTAGAAGGAATCTGGGAGATCCAATTGGTTGATGAGAAGTAATAGTCCCCAAACTCCGAGAGATTGTTGTCGGTGGGAAAAATGATGATGATGACGGAGAAAGGAAGGAAGGAATTGAGGATACGTGTAAGATTATTTGTGGGGAAACCCTAGTTTATGTGAATCGTCGTCATCATCTAGCCATGGGATGTGTAAAAAAGAGAGAGAGAGAGATAAAGCTGGCGATTTTGTTATTGAAGGACTCTCTAATTTGCCCTTTTTAAAACAGAGCCATTGAGATTGAGAGAGAGAGAGAGGGGGAGGAACTTTGTAGATTCAATCGACGACGTCAGATATTTTCGTATTTTTATTTCTCTACATAAATGACCTAAAATCGGCGGAGTAATTATAAAATAAAAAAGCCAAGGAAAAAATTAAGAAATTTTTTTTAAATTAATACATAAATTAAAAAATTAAAAATTTTAAAATAGAAAAGCTGATTTCTTACTTTAATTCGGTACAATTGTCTATTGTTTCACACTGTTTTATAAGTAGCTTTTTTTTGTTCATCTAGAATGAATAAATCAAGAAAATTAATAAAGTTAATGCATAATTGGGAAGAGGATCAAATTGAGAGAGTTTAGTTGTTAAGTTTCGCGTAGTGACTATATAAAATTTAAATTAAATTTTTGATATTTGTTTATCACCGACTTTATAGTATAGTTGTGTGAAAATTATGAATTATAGTAGTAGGGAAGAACATACCTCTGAACATGTGGACCCAACATTTGTAGAAAAGCGTATGTTGCAAAAACCGCGTACTAATTAATCCTACGGCCCCTAATGATTACTAGTTGGATCCAACGGCTGTAAATGAATCTAAAATTGTTTTTGATGATGTGTAATTAATACTATTGGGTCTTTAATTATTTTTAGTCCCGTTAGTACTACAGTGTATAGTAGTATGAAACTATGAATTGATGTTAATAAATGAATAATATGTTTTTTTTTTTTGTTAAAAGAATGGATAATATGTTTTTAGGATGAATAATGCTCAAATTTTACATGGATAATATGTTAATAATTGTACTAACGAGACTATCCTTTAGTACTTTAGTATTTTAATTCATGGATAATATGTTAATAAATGGATAATATTGGATCTTTAATTATTTTATAATCTCGTTAGTAGCTAGTATGAATTGAAGTAATTATAAATTAATTAATCATCTCACGGAGCAATGAAATTCATATTTACATTGAAGAAATCAGCGCTTTTTTCACAAAAATAATTGAGGTAATTCCGAAATTTGTGCTTCTCATATGTGTGTATTCAAAATAAAATTTGAATACTTTTGTAATTTTGATCACCCTTGAACTTCTATGACATGATTTATTAAGGCTATGTTTGTTTATATGAAGGTTTATAAATTAATGGATACAGTTTTCTGAATATGCTATATATTAACTAATGTTTTTAGGCTTAATTAGTTTATAGTTTCTATGAACTAATCTGCTCCCATGCTGCAAACAGTCAAATCTGAACTCAACCTTGCCGCTCTTCTTTCTTATCTAACTAATCAAGTGTGGGCTTATGGATCTTCTATGAACTGCTGTATTTAGCTATGTTCTTACGAACTGATATGTATGTTTAGTCAATTGTTGTTTTGTTGGATCTTTTATGAGCGGGGCATATTTATGCTATTTTTTGTTCTTTTTCTTAAAATAATGTTGAAGTCCAATATCACAGGGTGACTAATAAATACTCAGAAAGCCATTTTTGTGCCCATAACATGAAGTTTGTGACTCTGAGAGAAAAAATTTCTGAAATATTTTGAAAAATTTAGGATAATATAGAAAAAATTGTTATAAAAAACATAAGAAATAAATTTAATAATCTATTTAGACTGATAAAAAAGACAAGTTTTTGAAAGAGGTTTTCTAATCTTCCATTTTGTTTTAGTTCAGTAAAGATAACATTTTTGTATTTGTGTTAATGCTACAATGTTCTATGGTTTTTGTGCAACTTGTAGTCTTGTAGCATACAAGAAGTTATTTCTCTCTTAGAATCCAACAAAAAAATAGTGAGATACGTGGATCTATTAAATAG